AAACATTTTTGGAACTGATATTATAGTATTGTATAAAGAACATTGACATTTATCTAAAAAAGTGTCCCGATTTTGTTACAGTGACGTTAGATAACCTGTGTGCCGATAGTACATTGTGTACTCAAGAAACTTTAAATAGAGACCTAGAGATCTTAAATACTTGGTCAAAAACTTGGTTGGTTAATTTTAATCCTGAAATACAGATGTATTGTTTATTTCGAATTCAATCGATATCGAAGAAGACTTAGATTTAGAATTTGATGGGAAAGTCTTAAACTTTACAGATTATCATAAACATTTAGGGGTAACTTTTAATTCGAATGCAAAGTGGGGGGATCATGTACATAGTGTATAAAGTAACACAGTATCGATCCAGTTGTATGAAGTAATATATCAGAGATTCATTTGTATGAAGTAATACACCATATATTCACTTGTATGAAGTAATACACCAGAGATTCAGTTGTATGAAGTAATACACCAGAGATTCATTTGTATGAAGTAATATATCAGAGATTCATTTGTATGAAGTAATAAACTAGAGATTCAGTTGTATGAAGTAATATATCAGAGATTCATTTGTATGAAGTAATAAACTAGAGATTCAGTTGTATGAAGTAATATATCAGAGATTCATTTGTATGAAGTAATAAACTAGAGATTCAGTTGTATGAAGTAATATATCAGAGATTCATTTGTATGAAGTAATAAACTAGAGATTCAGTTGTATGAAGTAATATATCAGAGATTCATTTGTATGAAGTAATAAACTAGAGATTCAGTTGTATGAAGTAATATATCAGAGATTCATTTGTATGAAGTAATAAACTAGAGATTCAGTTGTATGAAGTAATATATCAGAGATTCATTTGTATGAAGTAATAAACTAGAGATTCAGTTGTATGAAGTAATATATCAGAGATTCATTTGTATGAAGTAATAAACTAGAGATTCAGTTGTATGAAGTAATATATCAGAGATTCATTTGTATGAAGTAATAAACTAGAGATTCAGTTGTATGAAGTAATATATCAGAGATTCATTTGTATGAAGTAATAAACTAGAGATTCAGTTGTATGAAGTAATATATCAGAGATTCATTTGTATGAAGTAATAAACTAGAGATTCAGTTGTATGAAGTAATATATCAGAGATTCATTTGTATGAAGTAATAAACTAGAGATTCAGTTGTATGAAGTAATATATCAGAGATTCATTTGTATGAAGTAATAAACTAGAGATTCAGTTGTATGAAGTAATATATCAGAGATTCATTTGTATGAAGTAATAAACTAGAGATTCAGTTGTATGAAGTAATATATCAGAGATTCATTTGTATGAAGTAATAAACTAGAGATTCAGTTGTATGAAGTAATATATCAGAGATTCATTTGTATGAAGTAATAAACTAGAGATTCAGTTGTATGAAGTAATATATCAGAGATTCATTTGTATGAAGTAATAAACTAGAGATTCAGTTGTATGAAGTAATATATCAGAGATTCATTTGTATGAAGTAATAAACTAGAGATTCAGTTGTATGAAGTAATATATCAGAGATTCATTTGTATGAAGTAATAAACTAGAGATTCAGTTGTATGAAGTAATATATCAGAGATTCATTTGTATGAAGTAATAAACTAGAGATTCAGTTGTATGAAGTAATATATCAGAGATTCATTTGTATGAAGTAATAAACTAGAGATTCAGTTGTATGAAGTAATATATCAGAGATTCATTTGTATGAAGTAATAAACTAGAGATTCAGTTGTATGAAGTAATATATCAGAGATTCATTTGTATGAAGTAATAAACTAGAGATTCAGTTGTATGAAGTAATATATCAGAGATTCATTTGTATGAAGTAATAAACTAGAGATTCAGTTGTATGAAGTAATATATCAGAGATTCATTTGTATGAAGTAATAAACTAGAGATTCAGTTGTATGAAGTAATATATCAGAGATTCATTTGTATGAAGTAATAAACTAGAGATTCAGTTGTATGAAGTAATATATCAGAGATTCATTTGTATGAAGTAATAAACTAGAGATTCAGTTGTATGAAGTAATATATCAGAGATTCATTTGTATGAAGTAATAAACTAGAGATTCAGTTGTATGAAGTAATATATCAGAGATTCATTTGTATGAAGTAATAAACTAGAGATTCAGTTGTATGAAGTAATATATCAGAGATTCATTTGTATGAAGTAATAAACTAGAGATTCAGTTGTATGAAGTAATATATCAGAGATTCATTTGTATGAAGTAATAAACTAGAGATTCAGTTGTATGAAGTAATATATCAGAGATTCATTTGTATGAAGTAATAAACTAGAGATTCAGTTGTATGAAGTAATATATCAGAGATTCATTTGTATGAAGTAATAAACTAGAGATTCAGTTGTATGAAGTAATATATCAGAGATTCATTTGTATGAAGTAATAAACTAGAGATTCAGTTGTATGAAGTAATATATCAGAGATTCATTTGTATGAAGTAATAAACTAGAGATTCAGTTGTATGAAGTAATATATCAGAGATTCATTTGTATGAAGTAATAAACTAGAGATTCAGTTGTATGAAGTAATATATCAGAGATTCATTTGTATGAAGTAATAAACTAGAGATTCAGTTGTATGAAGTAATATATCAGAGATTCATTTGTATGAAGTAATAAACTAGAGATTCAGTTGTATGAAGTAATATATCAGAGATTCATTTGTATGAAGTAATAAACTAGAGATTCAGTTGTATGAAGTAATATATCAGAGATTCATTTGTATGAAGTAATAAACTAGAGATTCAGTTGTATGAAGTAATATATCAGAGATTCATTTGTATGAAGTAATAAACTAGAGATTCAGTTGTATGAAGTAATATATCAGAGATTCATTTGTATGAAGTAATAAACTAGAGATTCAGTTGTATGAAGTAATATATCAGAGATTCATTTGTATGAAGTAATAAACTAGAGATTCAGTTGTATGAAGTAATATATCAGAGATTCATTTGTATGAAGTAATAAACTAGAGATTCAGTTGTATGAAGTAATATATCAGAGATTCATTTGTATGAAGTAATAAACTAGAGATTCAGTTGTATGAAGTAATATATCAGAGATTCATTTGTATGAAGTAATAAACTAGAGATTCAGTTGTATGAAGTAATATATCAGAGATTCATTTGTATGAAGTAATAAACTAGAGATTCAGTTGTATGAAGTAATATATCAGAGATTCATTTGTATGAAGTAATAAACTAGAGATTCAGTTGTATGAAGTAATATATCAGAGATTCATTTGTATGAAGTAATAAACTAGAGATTCAGTTGTATGAAGTAATATATCAGAGATTCATTTGTATGAAGTAATAAACTAGAGATTCAGTTGTATGAAGTAATATATCAGAGATTCATTTGTATGAAGTAATAAACTAGAGATTCAGTTGTATGAAGTAATATATCAGAGATTCATTTGTATGAAGTAATAAACTAGAGATTCAGTTGTATGAAGTAATATATCAGAGATTCATTTGTATGAAGTAATAAACTAGAGATTCAGTTGTATGAAGTAATATATCAGAGATTCATTTGTATGAAGTAATAAACTAGAGATTCAGTTGTATGAAGTAATATATCAGAGATTCATTTGTATGAAGTAATAAACTAGAGATTCAGTTGTATGAAGTAATATATCAGAGATTCATTTGTATGAAGTAATAAACTAGAGATTCAGTTGTATGAAGTAATATATCAGAGATTCATTTGTATGAAGTAATAAACTAGAGATTCAGTTGTATGAAGTAATATATCAGAGATTCATTTGTATGAAGTAATAAACTAGAGATTCAGTTGTATGAAGTAATATATCAGAGATTCATTTGTATGAAGTAATAAACTAGAGATTCAGTTGTATGAAGTAATATATCAGAGATTCATTTGTATGAAGTAATAAACTAGAGATTCAGTTGTATGAAGTAATATATCAGAGATTCATTTGTATGAAGTAATAAACTAGAGATTCAGTTGTATGAAGTAATATATCAGAGATTCATTTGTATGAAGTAATAAACTAGAGATTCAGTTGTATGAAGTAATATATCAGAGATTCATTTGTATGAAGTAATAAACTAGAGATTCAGTTGTATGAAGTAATATATCAGAGATTCATTTGTATGAAGTAATAAACTAGAGATTCAGTTGTATGAAGTAATATATCAGAGATTCATTTGTATGAAGTAATAAACNTTGTATGAAGTAATACACCAGAGATTCAGTTGTATGAAGTAATAAACCATATATTCACTTGTATGAAGTAATACACCAGAGATTCAGTTGTATGAAGTAATAAACCAGAGATTCAGTTGTATGAAGTAATACACCAGAGATTCAGTTGTATGAAGTTATACACCAGTGATTCAGTTGTATGAAGTAATACACCATAGATTCAGTTTTATGAAATTAAATACCAGATATTCAGTTTGATGAAGTTATAAACCGGATATTCAGTTGTATGAAGTATTACACTAGTGTTTCAGTTGTATGAAGTGATACACCAGATATTCAGTTGTATGAAGGATTACACTCATGATTAAGATGTGTGAAGTTATACAATAGAGATTCAGTTGCATGAAGTAATACACCAGATATTCAGTCGTATCAAGTAATACACCAGAAATTTGGTTGTTTGAAGTATTACACTAGTGATTCAGTTGTATGAAGTGATACACCGGATATTCAGTTGTATGAAGTATTACACTAATGATTAAGATGTGTGAAGTTATACAATAGAGATTCAGTTGCATGAAGTATTACAACAGATATTCACTTGTATCAAGTAATACACCAGAAATTTGGTTGTTTGAAGTAATAAACCCACGATTCAGTTGTGTCAAGCAATAAACCAGATACATTTGTTTGTATAAAGTTTTTCTACAATGATATTTTGGCATAAAAACGATGAATTTATGGACATAAATGAAATCTTTGCTTACAGAAATGGACGAAAGATTTATGCATGAAAGACTCCGACGGAGACGGCAAGGCGAACGGGATAGAACTTGGCGACCCCTGGTGCCGATGGACGAAAGAGCAACCAACATTACTTCTACCCGCCACATTTCATCCGGGTAAGAACAAAACTTTATTTATTGATTTCAGCGTCCGTCGGTCCGACTGTCATTGACAGTGTTTTATAAACCTTGTTTATGATGTGTAGAAACCATGGCTAACGGAAAACTTGACATATACAATACTCATGTATTTAGGAATAGCGAGGGCCACCACATTGAAACTTCATCAACGGGGCGCATGCGCATGCTACATGTACTCCACCCTGTCACGAAACACTGACAACAGGTCAAAAAGTAACCCTGACAACGAGTTGATGAGAGAAAGAAAATATAAAGTTATATCCCAAAGCTCCTGTCTACAAGATCCTACAGGGGATTTATATTTAACCGATCATACCATATCGAATGTCCTATTATGTTGGTTCTTGTTGAGAACTTAATAAAACATTGGTTTATACCATGCGATTATTTACTTTACGGCTATGTTATTGTCTAGCGCCGTATCTTATCTCAAGTAAATAAATTTAAGCTACCCTACTGTTAAATGTGACTTACTTTTTGTCAAAAAAATCCAAAATACGTGATCATAAAATCTCGGTAAAAGGTTTGTTCTAAACGTTGGATTTTATAGAAAGTATCAGTTGTCTACCATTCTTTTTGACCTCAACAATAAAGTAACAAAATGGGCTTAATATACTGTCATTACACATCCCATGTCTTTCTTATGCAAGATTCCGCCGGGAAACACCATTGTACGGGCATTCATTTCACATGACAGTACACATTTCGACAATTTTTGTTTCTGTATGCTTGTTTAAGCATTTTAGAGAGTTAAAGTGAAATTTATAGGTTTCATCTTAAATGCACTTTAAAACAAAAATATATCGTCATGGTTTAAAAAACGTTCAGGAATACTGTTATGTTCATCCATGTTTCAACACTCCTTGTCAGTCATGTTAAATAGATTTCAATGCACTTTATGATGTTCATTTCAGCCATTCAAGTCTCATTCAAGCACTTATACTTTCTAATTATATATGGTAAAACAGTACATTATACAAATATCTGATAGTTTTTATTCTAATTTAAATAAATGAATTACCCTCGTGCATGTAGGGTCACCTTTTCCAATGGACGCAAGACAGAAATGGTAGGAGGGGGTAATTTTTAAGGGGTAAGATTTTAACATTAAGTCCAGATTGGATTTCTACCGTGAGCTTTTGATCTTGGGTAGTTTTGTATGGGGGTCGCTTGATTACGTCGCCCCCGGACCGCACCTCCGAGGGTACCGTTAATTGGTGTCGCACGATAGGCCTAGCACTTGACTGACAATGTTGCTTAACTTAAAATGAATTATAGAAAAGCATAAAATATATTTGTCATTTATGTCTTTGTAATAAATGTGATTACCTGACCTGCATGTACACCTGTTTACTTGTGAAGGTATATGCGAGCCGTGGGACGACGAGACTTGTCGTAAGCAGAATGGCTCTGTCGTCTGCCCGGATAATCTCAAATGTGAGGCTGCCTATCAGCCAGGTAAGACATGTTTACCACCAAAGTGCAATTTCAGACATACATTTGACTGTCCCTCCATCCAGTCTCTCTTGTTCCAAAACCTTCCAAACTACATAAAACGTAATATACCTACATAAAACTATATCAAGTCATCATTTCAATTCTTGTGAATTTGTACTTGTTCTTCGTAATTTAAATTCCTTTCTCGTGTTGTGTCAGTTAAACACGTGTTTTATAATTTAAATTCGTACTGTGTAATTTGTACCCCGTGTTGTTTTATTTATTTTCTTGCCGTGTAATTTAGAACTAGAATAAAATAAACAGCAGGTGTGTCAATTACACAGCACGAGTGCAATTTACACAGCACGAGTGATTTTATACTCTGTTGTGTAATTGATAGTTGTGCTGTATAATGTATACATGTGCTGCGTTAGGTATACTCCCGCTTGTAATTAATGTTATACTCCTATTGCGGAAGTTACGGAAAACTGGCACTCTTTTAGATGACCATTAGTCGTCTTTGGAAGGTCCAATTTCGATCAGTGGAAAAAACGGGATGCCGTTCACGTCATCTCCTAGTCGTTTCCCTATGGTTAAAAACCCTCATCCCTGCTGCGTATTTCCTGCAAAAAAAGTGATAAGTTCTGTCCTACTTATTTCTATGCCAAATTTTCCACTCCTTTTAATGACAAATGTCTTCATCAGTTCTCGCCTCGTCTTTCAATAATTCTTCATATTCTCTCTGCCATCCGCCTCGGCTTCCGATGAGTATGGCAGTTCAATACTCAAACAAACAGTGTTCGCAAATGTATTACAGATATCTTTAAATGAATAAAAGATACCCTTAAATTAATCAAAGATGTCTATAAAATAAAAGAGATATATCATATAAATATAATGATAAAATATCTTCACTAAGAATAGATCTTAACTAAGATATCTCATACAAATAGAGATATCTTCATGACTTGACCGTATATTTCCGAAAGTATCCCCTAACTCTGTGGTTACTCCCTAAGAGAGTGGATGTGTTACTATGTTTAGTGATGCTGTCTGTATTCTACATTGATCACAGTGGTTGGCCAGTTCTCGGTCCGTCTCAATCTCACGAGGGTACCAAAAAAGGACTTCACATACGCCTGCATGGTTTTCAACGTTCCTGCAAATGCCAACTATCATATGGTGGAAGCTAAACCTATCTTCTATAACAGAAGAGTTCTACATCACATGACCCTGTATGCTTGTGGTGAGCTCCATGGTTTTTTTTCTTCTTTTATTTTCAATATGTTTCTGTCATAGCGAGAAAAAATATGTCTCGTGAAATGTGAGTAATCTTTATAAGCTTAGTAAATTCTGAATTTTTCAAAGAAATATATATCATTCAATGTTTATTCTATAAGAATGTGGCACGAAGTAACTGAAGAAATATTTATTGGTTGAAATGAACTGATTTGCAATATAATTTGGCAGCATGACAAGAATCCTATATTACACCTACGTTAAAGAGTACTTGCCAAAATTTCAAATTATTCAGGGGTGTGAAACCGCGTGACAAAATCTATAGATAGGTAACCAAACTTCTAAAGCCATGGAAACTGTAGGAATACTACTAAGTTGTGGAACGCCTAAGAGTAATTTTATAAGCTATATATGGTGCTATATACATGTTGTGTATTATTGTATATTATAATCATAGAACCCATATTTGGAGATCGTGCTTAGATCGCTCCAATTCGATTTCTCGCCTATGCTCGATCTCCCTCCCGAGTGAGAAAACATGCAAAATCGATGTGTATGGGTGACATGTTTGTCTCACCATACTAGTTTGTTGCAAGCAAGCATGGCTGCGTTTAGTACTTGTTTGATTTACGCTAAAGAAACACTTTGAAGAACAGATTTATAAGATAAATATGTTTCAAAATGGCCGCTTTCGCTTTCTGGGAACCATATTTCTTCTATCACATGATTTGCAATGGCAGCTATCCGACCACGAGCGGGGTAAGTGTGCTAGGACGTGCCACACGAGAGGTTCCGAGTGTTTAACATCAGTGCTTCCGATGAGAAATTTAGGACTAGGATGAAAACTGTGACTCAACTGCTACCTATCTGGCAACAATTGTTGACCCTTCTAGTTGTGGGGCCATGCAGCGTGCTCTGGGTTCGATTCCCAACAGTGTGGTAATAATCCACGATCTGATGAAGTTGATGCATATCATCTTATTTTCTTATGTAAAACACATTACTATTTAAGAGTTATTAGACATTTATTTTGTAAAACAGCACATTAATTGCTTATGAATGAACGATTTTTTGACTACGAAGGATATTGAACAGCCGGACATAATGTGATCTAGTGCAATTTTGCAGAATGCGCGAGGCATACATGGAATATAAAAACGATGGCGACTGGGACGACAGCTTATTAACTGCCCTTAAAGTACTTAATACAATGAACCCAAGTAAAAGCGTAAAGCATTGTGTAGATTAAGCTGTTGATTTTAAAAAGGAAAATGTTTGTGAAAAATCCAGTCTCTGTGAAAAATAGAAAGTTTCGTCTGCGACAAAACACCAGAGGTGGTATGTAGATTAGAAAGAGAAGAATACTTGGTATTGGTATTTGATATGTAAATATTGCGTAGTGATGTATGTTATAATCTTCTAAACCGACTAAAAAACTTTCTTTCCAAATATCGCTCTATCGTGTCCGAACTGTTGTCTTCAATACCTGTGTGCAATCCTCAATTTATATTTACCTATGTAACCGTCCCTGACATGCTGTGTATTGGGCTATTGAATATGCATCCCTTCCGTTAGCAAATGCTGTCGAAGTAACTCTTCTTTATTAAATGGTGTTATAGGCACTACGTTTTTATATATACATTATGCATTGATTTAGTGAGATCTGATGTTGAGTTTAATCCAGGTGTCTCGTCTGTCGGTGCATCTGACTCACCCCCGTTCTCAAATATTAGCAACCATCTTGTTACCGACAACAATTATTCCTTTGTTCCTCTCAAGGTTAAAAGCCTCAACCAAAATCTCGATATCTTATATACCGAATTATGAAATTGTACAATATTGTCTTTCACCGAAACCTGGGAAAGTATCAATGATAAATGCCAAGTTTGTTTTGAACACCAACAGGAATTGTACAGTTGTTTGCGTCTGTTTCCTATGTCAATCAAAGAGTGTAAATGACCGGTGTCTTGACTATGCCAACCCAGTCTGCTGTTGGGCCGACCGAACCGATGGTGATGCATCTGTTGAAGAAGACGAGACCTATAGGGTTACCTATCATTTAATGAGTGTGGTTAGAAAAAGTCCTTGGAACAGAGAAAACCTTAATCTATTCTCACTTAATTACGCGTTATACTTATTACCTTCAGTCTATCCAAAACTGTACTCACCCTTTTTTACTGAAGCTTCCATGTCATTATTAGACGTAGTCTGTACCAGTGATATCAATATGTAAATGTGTTATTGGATATAGATTTCTTGACCAGCCGCTTAGATATCACTGTCCTACCTACTGCTCTTCAATAATTATGAATTACGAATCTACTAGTTAGTATATAGACCTCCAAACTCTCCCGTTATTACGTGGTCTCATATACATTGTAATACTGTTGTAAGTAGTACTATACTAAGTAGATACCTATATAATGTCTTAATTTAGCATGCCCACCAGTAAACTGTCGCTTTCAAAGTAAGTCGGTGTGTTCCCTAAGGAATGTCTTAACGCGTATCCAGTGCAAACACTATCAGAAAAGCCAGTGAAGGATTAGTTGATCATATACATTAATAGAAATCTCCAATAATTTCATATATCTGATTGTGGTTCTAACACGTCTTCCTTTACTTTCTCATTGTGTCACAGACCCTATGGTTACTGTCCGAGTGTCAAAAAAGCCGTTTGAATGTCCAAGAGTGACGACCGCCCCCTGTCAGCAGATAATTACTTCATACAGTACACACTTTCCCATCACGTGCCTTCATGATCACGTGGGTGTCTTGTTCGGGAAGGACGGCATCAGGCAGGTAGTACTTCAGGTAAGACAGCTTGGATACAAACAATGAATCATTCTTCAGGTAAGTCAAGAGATCATGCTTAAGGTAAAACGAGATGCAGTCAAGAGATCATACTTGAGGTAAAACGAGACACAGTCAAAAGATAATGCTTCAGGAAAAACGATATACAGTCAAGAGATAATGCTTCAGGTAAAACGAGACACAGTCAAAAGATAATGCTTCAGGTAAAACGAGATACAGTCAAGAGATAATGCTTCAGGTAAAGCGAGATATAGTGAAGGGATCATACTTCAGGTAAAGCGAGATGCAGTTAAGAGATCATGCTTCAGGTAAAACGAGATGCAGTCAAGATATCATCCTTGTGGTAAAACGAGACACAGTCAAAAGATAATGCTTCAGGTAAAACGAGATGCAGTCAAGAGATCATACTTGATGTAAAACGAGACACAGTCAAAAGACAATGCTTCAGGTAAAACGAGATGCAGTCAAGATATCATCCTTGTGGTAAAACGAGACACAGTCAAAAGATAATGCCTCAGGAAAACGAGATGCAGTCAAGAGATCATGCTTCAGGTAAAACGAGATGCAGTCAAGAGATCATACTTGATGTAAAACGAGACACATTCAAAAGATAATGCTTCAGGAAAAACGATATACAGTCAAGAGATCATGCTTAGGGTAAAACAAGATGCAGTCAAGAGATCATGCTTCAGGTAAAACGAGATGCAGTCAAGAGATCATGCTTCAGGTAAAACGAGAGGCAGTCAAGAGATCATGCTTCAGGTAAAACGAGAGGCAGTCAAGAGATCATGCTTCAGGTAAAACGAGATGCAGTCAAGATATCATGCTTCAGGTAAAACGAGATGCAGTCAAGAGATCATACTTGAGGTAAGATAACACCGAATCATACCAAATAACCAAATAATAAGAAATTTATGCGATGCGAAATTCAGAACTGCATTTTGCGTTTATCTATTGGATACCAAAACTGCTCAGATTTTTTTCTTTACCTTGCAAAGGAGTCGTAGTCGATTTCAAAATAGAATATAAAACATCAAAGGATAGATTTTACTATAAAGAAAAACAATTTATACAAAAGCATAGATAATAGTCACAGAACAATGTATACCTGTTTGACTGTATTGTTATATTATATATATGTACATATATCGAGGACCTATAGAAGATAGGTACGATCCTAAAAAATGATCCTCTTTAAATAAAATTATTACTACAAAAATATGTATCATAAAAGGATAGATTTTAACCAAAGAACAACAATTAGTACTACAAAAAGTGGGGCGGTGGGGCGGTGAGGCGTTGGGGCGATGGGGCGGTGGG